CCTGCTGCGATACGAAGCGCACCCCGTCCCTGCTGCCCCCCGGGACACAGCCTGGCCCAGCCTATGCAGAGCCCGGGCGCTGGCACGGACAAGGAGCGTGCTGGCAGCGAAGCAGGGCGGGCGATCGCCGGACGGGGCGAGGAGCACTGCCGGAGGAAGGGCCCACTCCACTCCTTGCACCAGGGCTTGGCGTCACCTGTGCTTTGCTGCTGGAGCAAGGCCAACCCAGCAGAGAGCTGGCCTTCCTTACAGCACCCTAAGCATCAGCCGAAAAGGGAGGTGAGGAGCTTGACTGTTCAGCCCTGTTGTGCAAAGCCCGCGTTTCACCAAGAGCCTCCCTGATTTGCAACACCCTTGGGTAGTGCATAAATCTGACTCCCCCGGGCGAAGACTGCAGCAGGGGTACGGCGGAAGCCGGGATGGCCTGCAGACACGTCGCACCCTCTCCCAGCTGCCCTCCTGCCTCTCCGGCTCAGCATGCTCAAAGCACATCTGGGCCCCAGGGCTACACACCGAAACGTATGGGTGACGCTGACGCGCTCCAGACACTTCCCGGTTGACGGGTGCCAGCATGAAGCTGCGGGGAAGTCAGAGGCACTCACAGCCTGAAACTTGGCAGAAGCATCGGGGACATGACAGCGGAAAGCAGCGCCTTGCTGGCCCCGAGGATCCCAGCAGCGGGGGAGCAGGCTGCCCTGCCGCGGTGCACCGGTCTGCGTCCTTCAGCCCCGGCGTAAGCAGGTGCCTTTGTGCAAAGCAGCTGTGAATCAGCCTCTGAGCTTTTGACCCTGGCTCCACCACCAAGCATCCTTGCGGCCCTGGGCTCCCCTGTTCCCCAACTGCACCTAATTGTCCTTCTCGCGGCAGAGGAGCGGAGCCATCCCTACTGCACCAAAGGGGTTAAGGAGTTCATATTTTACACAGCACCTTAAATACGCAAAACAGGGGCTGTTAATAATCACAGGCTGCCGAGGCAAAGGTTTGGGGCGATCTCTGGTGCATTCATTAGTCTGCCACCGCTCTT